GTGAGTTAAGGCCAGCTGGTCTACAAAGCAAATTACAGGATGGTCAGGCTATACTGTGAGACCCTGTCTTTAAAAAACAAAACCTCAAAAGAAGTATTTGCCTCCATCGGCTGACTATCTGAGGACTGGCCCTTTAAGTGCAAAGCTAGGAGAAAAAAATATTGAAACAGGCCCCACCCAACCTTCTTCTCCACCACACACCACAGCAATAAGAACTTCTTTGGTTGCTTCCATGCTGCTTAACCATTGGCTTCGCTGCCCTCACTGAAATCAGCAAAACTGCAACCCATCCTCAATGTCTCCTTTCAATAGCCTTGAGTTAAGTCCAAACAGTCTCAAGTTCAACCATAAGTCTCTCATCTTTACTGCACCTGTACTGACCTATTTGTTTCCCCCGCAAGTCCCCAAAAATCTGTTCAATAATCTAAGATATATGTTAATTTGTTCTTGACCAGTTCCTCTCCTACATCCTCAGCCTTCAGTGATGCCAAAAACCACTATTTGCTTCTCACAGTAGCTAATATAAAACTCTTCTATTTCCTTCAAGATTTACCCTTATATTATTTGAGAAGAAACCATTACAAATCTAAGAGAAAATGAGTATGGTATCTTTGTGCCCACATCATCCTAGAAGAGATGAGGCTGAGGCAGTGATCTTTGGAGTTTGGGTAGTAGATCTTACAAAGGTCTAAGAAATACCAGCTTGAATACCATTGTAAAAGTTTCAAAAGGGAATGATGATTTAAGAGAGCTGACGAGTTCCTAAAACTGTAAATCTCATTACATAATCACAAATCATTCCAAAGAGGAAGCCAATGCAACTCTTTGGTTATTCTGGATAAGAGTCCACTACCAAATATTAAAAGTACTAAGTATGCTGTGATTTATGACAAAAAGAACTAGTCCCTAAATACCAGCAAGGGCTCACTGAGACTACCTTTGGAGTTTTGACAGAATTACAAGCCTAATAATTCATTAAAGGTGGTAGATATATTGTTAAGAGAAGTCAAGTGAGACTCCTCATGACAATTTAACATCAAGACAGAAAACAATTTGAACAACCACGGATCTCCAAACTGTAAAGACCTATGAGCTTCCCTTAGGTTGAGTTGCCAAAGTGGCACAAGGGATGCCAGAGAGGCAAGTACAGCACATGGGAGCCAAGATCAACGGCTTCCTTATGGATCCTCCCAAAGCTATATCCTATAAATGTTCATATTCTTTTCAATCCTTTTGTTAAATATCAGCACTTCCTAATATAGATATCCTCTACCTGATTTGTATACTTCTTACCACTTGTAAACCAGGCATCGATCTTGAGGTCATGGAACTCTGGGCTCCACTCCAAACTCCCCCTCATTCTTCTGTATTTCCTAGTCAACCTGGCTGCAGATCTCAAAGTCACCTTCATTTCGACCTACTCACCTGACCAGCCTTATCCTAAGGTATCCTTGATCAAAAGGAGCACATGGTCAAGCGAAGTATCAAATCAGCAACTACAATCCAAACAGTATCTGAGCTGCAGTGATGAACTGATTAGAAGCTACGAGGATGCCCAGAAGGAGGCTTGGAGTCCGGGAAGACTTTCTGAGTAGCCAACTGCGTTGAATTTAAAAGCTGAGTATTTCACCAAAAGGTAAAGGAAGTATGTGTGTAAAAGCCTGGAGTCATGAGCAGCCACAGTCATGTAGAGAAACAGCAAAGGATGGGATCAAGTGAAGGCTATGGTGGAAGCCAAGGCTGCTCTTGGAACATTGTGTTGAAACTACTATCAGCATCTACCCTAGGGCACTCAAGTCTGAGGCCTGGAAGTTCATCTAAGATTCTTCTACTTTTTCCTTCACACAAAATTTACCTTGTTTCCCCAAAGTTTTTCACTCCTCTTGCCTCCTCCACAATTCTCCTGTTTCAGGTCTTCTCAATTCCTCCAGCTTCTTCTGACAATCTATAATATCTATAACTGTCCCACACGCTCTGTGCTCTCCATTCTAGACTCTCAGTACAAGAGATCTGTTAGCAATGAGTTTTCTATCTTCCAAGTAATGATCCTAGATCTCCCTTTCTTCTATCTCCAAACTTTCATTAAAGTATTTTCTTTCTGTGGAAGAACTTAAGACATGTTGTTTTGTACTCTAGTGGTAGCTCAATAAGACAGGAATTCACTTCTCCTGCTTTCTCCATGTTCCTTCCCAGGCAGATGTGTTCACAGACCTATTCATGGAACACAGAAGACTGAATCCCATATCTACGTCAAACTACTACCTAGGAAAACATCTGTCTTAAACTTGGCCAATGCAATTCTCTGCCCCATGAATTCTGTCTTGTAATCCAGACTTCAGTATGTGACCTGTGACTGGCCATGAATGCTGCTGTGCAGGTGGATGGCTGTTATACAAAGGAAAGCAGAGGAGCTAGGCTCACAAGTAGAAGGGTGGCTGGTTTGTCGGGTGCTTGAGAGAAAAACAACATGTTTACTGCCTTATTAGTTATGAGTTTCTCATAATCCTTCATCCCATTTCACACCCAGAGTTTTAGGAGAACCACCAGAGTCTCATAGTAATCCCCATTTTATTTAAATTAGTACAGGTAGGATTCCATTTCTTAGAATCAAGTTACATCTTTGCTATTTCTATCAAGGTCTTCTATTAGTAACAGTTTCCAGAACTGACCCTAGCTTGTTCACCCTGCACTTCTCAGGTGGTATAACACCTTACACGTACTTAAGGCTGTCTTCTGAACTAAATGTAACCACTACAGAGGAATATAGTTGGACTTGAGTAATTAGTAACAATTTCACATGCAGAAAAAGCTTAAGACTGTTCAGGGGAAAGATGCAGGCACAGGGAAGAAATTCAAAAGGAAGCCACTTTAGCTGATTGGGTTTTCAGGCACTGTTTATGTGGAAGCTGACCATACATTCCCACCCACTGCAACTACTACCTCATGCCCCTTGTCAAAGCCTGGCAAAGATGAGGAAGAAAACCTAGGCCACTGTAGCACATCATGTGCAGACTGGAAAACAGTGACCTCAGTTCCTAAAGATCAGTAACTGATAGCCAGAACAAAACAGCAAGGGACCACCAACAGCTCAACAGCTGCAGCCCTCAGCCTCTGGGCAACAGACGGCATCTGAGAACTTCATTATGAAAAGCTGTTGTGCTTTATTTTTTTTTTAAGTAAATTTTATCTTCTCAGAAAGAATTTTGATTTCACAGTTTTAGGAAATAGAATTTGAATGTCTTTATATTACAAATATAAACAGAAATCATAGATTTTCATCTAAATATTCAAGCTTTACTTTGGAAGTTATATATAACACATGATTATCATTTTAGAATACTCTTTCTTTAGAATCAGTGAATATACTTGCTGTTTCCAAGGACTGAATCCCTTTGTGGCTGCTACTGCTGCTACACTAAACTTGAGCCAAGGGTTTCTGATGAGATAAGGGCTCAGCTGTGCATGAAAAATATATAAGGTCCTTCAGAAACTCACACCAGGAAGATTTCCTGACTACACCCTTAGACTTGAATACTTAGGAAATGGCCCAGTCAAGCTTGCACAATGGGAAATGGTAGAAAGGCAGATAAAAGACAGCTGAATTTCCTGCTTTGACATGGCAGTCATCCCGTCACTGCCCAAGAGAGTATGCCAACACAGGGGCAGGTGGCACAACCATCACCAGGCCCCTTGATTTGATGGTGAGAAATAGGCAAGTCTGTGAGAAGGGCTATTTGGAACTCAAGAGGTTAGATAACAAGTTAGGCTTTAAAAATGATGACCCTATAACCACGTACTAGACAGCAGAAAAGAAAGCACAACAGTTCTCAAGCAGCTCTGAGGCCATGGAAATTACTCCAATCTTCACATAACTGCAAAAGGGGCATGGGAGGATATTTCTTAAACTGCATCAGTATGACACATAGATGATAGATAGATAGATAGATAGATAGATAGATAGATAGATAGATTTGTTTGTTTATTGAGACAGGGTCTCATTATATAGCCCTTGCTAGACTAAAACTCTATGCAGCTCAGGCTGGCCTGATCTAACAGGAATCCACCAGCCTCCATTTTCTCCATGCTGTGATTAAAGGTGTGGGCCACCATGCCTGGTCTAATATCTAGGTTTCATTTTGTTTAGTTGACAAAGTACTAGGTACATACAAGTAGAATAAATCTAATAAAAGTATGAGATGGTAGCCAGTGGCCCAAAGATCATTCATTCACCATAGGCTCTGATAAGCACAGGGCATCTTTAGGAGGATCTTAGACAAGTTGAATAACCATTAAACTGGGCTACATGTAAATGTCCAAATATACTTCTCTACATTATGTACTTATATTTAATTTTCATGATGTAAAAACTAGACACCATTATAAAGAGTAAAAAATATAGCTAACACAATATTACTTTTCTTTCAAAATGAATACTAGCTATAAAAAGAAATAGGTATGGCATTATTGAGACAGCTAGGTTCAAAAGGTTCTTCAAACAAAATAAAATGGCAATTGTTGATAGTCTAAGGGGTAATTCTGTCTGCAATGTCATATATGAGTCTTTGGCATTACTCAAATTGAAGACCATTATGAGCATCAATAAGCAAATATGTCTTCATGTTCATATTAAAGCAAAGAAGCCAGAAATTACCTGAATATGGTGGAACTTTTCATATTTTAACATGAGATCTGAAAGTAGAAGGCTGGCTATTCTGTTCAGTACAAGAACTTATCTACAGGATACATGTCCCAGTGATATTTATCATATAACAGGAAGAGGTTCAGAATATATATTTTATGCCAAAAGCAATGGTATTTGCCTGGTAATCAAGCAATCTATAGGTGACCGAAGGGCAATTTCTAAAAGTTCAGGGCCAAACTGCACCAGTACCAAGGCTTTAGTAAAGAAGATAGACCTGAAGTACATAAGCTGCTCACCTAAAGCCCGCCCACACTGACTTCTTGCTGTGCCCTGCAGTTTTCTGTCAAAGAGCACCTACCCCAGGGCAAAGTTACAGTCCTCCTTCCAGTCTATGATGCGGCAGATGAATAGTGTGCTGGCATAATCTCTAGGCCGGGTCATGAAGTCCTGGGGACAGTCCTTGAGAGGTACATAAATTCTAGGCACTCGGTGGTCTGAAGGGGAAAACAGGGCGTATTTCTTAAACAGGTCACTGTTCTTATCAGCCAAAGGTTTGAGGATGCCGGTTGCTGCGCGGGAATGCTTTTTCTCCAAGATGTAAACCACCTGAAAACACCAAAGACAAAGTCATTGTTTCTCTATGTGAAAATCAATCAGAAAGTCAACAGCACATTATCAGATTAACCAGATGGACCTAGCTGCACCGGGAGGTCACCGTGAGGTGGCTCTCTATGATATTCTGTAACTAGGTGATCTATATGTAAATCGCAACAACTTAAGTATTAGATGTGGGGGAGAGTCCAAGGGGAAAAAAAAACCCTACGGACTAGATGGATAAATTAGATGAAAATGCTTTAATAACCATGCCCTGTGTCTTGTAAAGGTATGTGTAGCCCAGCAGGGTAGACAGCTCCAAGTTTCAGCTGCACATTATACTTTCCCGCATTAATACCAGAAAGAGAAATTGTTTTCTTTAAAAATGTTACTGAACATAAAAAATTACTGTTCTCAATTAGGATATAACTTATATTTCCTTGCTGAAATCTCCTGTTTTCTTAAATATGTCCAAAGAATGTGTAATGTGTGGTGAAAATCTTTTTTTAATTGTTTTATTTTTCTGTTCCCCTCCCTACCTTCCCCCTCCCCTTCTACCCTCTCCTATGATATCCATGCTCCCAATTTACTCTGGAGATCTTGTTTTTTTCTACTTCCCATGTAGATTTGGTCCATGTATGTCTCTCTTAGGGTCCTAATTATTGTCTAGATTCTCTGGGGTTGTGAATTGTAAACTGTTTTTTTTTTTTTTGCTTTATGTCTAAAAGCCATTTATGAGTGAGTACATATTGTTTTTGCCTTTCTGGGTCTGGGTTACCTCACTCAATATGAAGTTTTCTAGATACATCCATTTGCCTGCAAATTTCAAGATGTCATTATTTCTTTCCACTGTGTAGTACTCCATTGTGGGAATATACCACATTTTCTTTATCTACCCTTCGGTTAAAGAGCATTTAGGTTGTTTCCAGGTTCTGGCTATAACAAATAATGCTGCTATGGACATAGTTGAGCACATGTCCTTGTGGTATGATTGAGCATCCTTTGGGTATATACCCAACAGTAGTATTGCTGGGTCTTGAGGTAGGTTGTTTCCAGATTTTCTGAGAAATCACCATACCGATATTCAAAGTGGCTGTACCAGTTTGCACTCCCACCAGCAATGGAGGAATGTTCCCTTTACTCCACATCCTCTCCAGCACAAGCTGTCATCAGTGTTTAGATCTTGGCCATTCTGATAGGTGTAAAATGGAATCTCAGAGTTGTTTTGATTTACATTTCTCTGATGGCTAAGGATGTTGGCTAAGGATGTTCCTTAAGTATCTTTCAGTCATTTTCAATCCATCTGTTGAGAGTTCTCTGTTTAGGTCTGTACCCCATTTTCTTATTGGATTATTGCTCTTTTGATAACCAATTTATTGAGTTCTTTGTATATTTTGAAGATCAGTCCTCTATCCGATCTGGGGTTGGTGAAGATCTTTTCCCATTCTGTAGGCTGCCTTGAGGAAAATATGAGCCTCACTTTGACCTAAGATCAGAATTGGAACTTACCTCTAGTTCCACCAAGGTTATTGTGCTTCTTCAAACAAAGGTCCCACGCAGATTTAGACCAGAGTCTAAATCTCTCAAGGGTGTTGACAATAGTCAGAACTTGTATTCCAGGAATAGAGAAGTAAATGTTTCAACCTCAAACAAAAGTCTGTGGATCCAACTAAGTTCCAGTTCCTTTAAGGAGAAAGCTTTGAATTCCACCCAGGGAGTGGTTTGCCTACAAAATACTTTGGTCTAGGGTGTGGGTGTGATTTCTTTTGTTCTAGCAACAGACTGTTTACAGAAGGATCCCACGACCGTCAATTGATGTGTTCATTTCCTTGTATCATGTTAATGCAGTTTTTTGTCTTACTCCTACCTTTTGGGGCCAAGGGTATTCAAAGCAGTTGGAAACTAAACAAGGGTGAATCCCGGTACTCACTGGAACTCCCTCCCAATACTAAGTTTCTCTGTTTTATTATTTTCTTTTGTGTCTTCATATTCTTTACTATATTTCTAAATCCCCATGCCTTTTACCCTGGCGTGAGGTACTTTTGTTGAGGCTGGTCCCTGATAAAGGGCAGCCCAACGTGGGGCAGACTCCGACACTGCCATTTTGTCTTGTTGACCGTGTCCTTTGCTTTACAGAAGCTTCTCAGTTTCAGGAGGTACCATTTATTAATTGTTGCTCTCAGTGTCTGGGGTTATATTTAAGAAAGGGTCTCCTGTGCAAATGCATTCAAGTGTACATCCCACTTTATCTTCTATGAGGTTCAGTGTGGTTGGCTTTACACATTGAGGTCTTTGACCCATTTGGACTTCAGTCTTGTGCATAGCGATAGATATGTATCTGTTTTCAATCTTCTACATGCTGATATCCAGTTATGCCAGCACCATTTGTTGAAGATGTTTTCTTTTTTCCATTTTATATTTTTTGCTTCTTTGTCAAAAATCAGGTGTTCAAAGGTGTGTGAATTAGTATCCAGATCTTTGATTTGATTCCATCGGTCCTCCTGTCTGTTTTATGCTGTGGTACTGTTGCTCTGTAGTAGAGTTTGAAGTCAAGGACTGTTATGCCTCCAGAAATTCCTTTATTATACAGGATTGTTTTGGCTATCCTAGGTTTTTGCTTTCCACGTGAAGTTGAGTATTGTTCTTTTGAGGTCTTTGAAGAATTTCACTGGGATTTTGATGGGGATTGCATCAAATCTGTAGATTGCTTTTGGTAAGATTGCTATTTTACTTTGTTAATTATACCTACCAAGAGCATAGGAGATCTTTCCATTTTCTGGAAATTTCTTTCTTCAAAGATTTAAAGTTCTTGTCATACAAAAGTCTTTCAGTTGTTTGCTGAGAGTTACTCCAAGACATTTTATGTTCTTTGTGGCTATCATAAAACATCATGTTTCTCTGATTTCTTTTGCAGCCCATTTATCATCTGTGTAAAGAAGGGCTACTGATTTTTTTGACTTAATCATGTATCCTGCTAAATTACTGACGATGTTTATGAGCTGTAAAAGTTCCTTGACAGAACTTTTGGGATCTCTTATGTAAACTATCACACCATCAGCAAATAGTCCATTTGAGTCATAACATCTGTTAGTTCCCTTATTTCTCTGTTGAATTTTCTGATTGTCAGACCTTTCCAGTGGTGAGAGTAGAGTGTTGAAGTCTCCCACTATTAGTGTATGGGGCTTAATGTGTGATTTAAGCTTTAGTAGTGTTTCTTTTACATATAAGGGTGACCTTGTACTTGGGGCATAGATGTTCAGTATTGAGATTTTCTCTTGATGGATTTTTCCTGTGACTAATATGAAATGTCCTTTTTCTCCTTTGATTGATTTTAGTTTGAAGTCTATTTCGTAAGATATTAGGATAGCTACACCAGCTTGTTTCTTAGGTCCATTTGATTGAAAAACTTTTTCCCAACCCTTTACTCTGAGGCAATGTCTATCTTTGAGATTGAGGTATGTTTCTTGTATGCAGCAGAATGATGGATTCTGTTTTCGTATCCAATCTGTAAGTAGTGTCTTTTTATAGGTGAGTTAAGTTCATTTATATTAAGAGATATTAATGACCAGTGATTGCTATTATTATTGCTATTATCCTGTCATTTTAGTTTTCATGGTTAGTGAAATTATTGTGTGTGGTTTTTCCCTTTTTAGAATCTGCTGCTGTGAGAGCATCTTTTTTTTTTTTTTGTTTTTCGAGACAGGGTTTCTCTGTGGCTTTGGAGCCTGTCCGGAACTAACTCTGTAGACCAGGCTGGTCTCGAACTCACAGAGATCTGTCTGCCTCTGCCTCTCGAGTGCTGGGATTAAAGGCATGCGCCGCCATCGCCCGGCTTGAGAGCATCTATTGCCTGTGTTTTTGTGGATGCAGCTAAATTTCTTGGGTTGGAGTTTTCTTCTAGTACTTTGTGTAGGGCTGGGTTTATGGCTAGGTATTGGTTAAATCTGGTTCTGTCATGGAATATCTTGTTTTGTCCGTCTATGGTGACTGAAAGTTTCACTGGGCATAGTAATCTGGGCTGGCATCCATGATCTCTTAATGTCTGTGTAGCACTTGACCAGGACCTTCTGGCTTTCATTGTTTCCATTGAGAAGTCAGTTGTAATTCTGATAGGTCTGTCTTTACATGTTACTTGGCCTTTTTTCTTTGCAGCTCTTAATATTCTCTCTTTATTCTGTATGTTTAGTGTTTTGATTATTATATAGCAAGGGGACTTTTTTTGATTCAGTCTATTTGGTATTCTGTAAGCTTCTTGTATCTTCATAGGCATATCTTTCCTTAGGTTGGGAAAACTTTTTTCTATGATTTTGTTGAATATATTTTCTGTGTTTTGAAGTGGACTTTTCTCCTTCTTCTATCCTTATTATTCTTAGGTTTGATCTTTTCATGATGCCCCATATTTCGTGAATATTTTGTTAAGTTTTTGTTACATTTAATGTTTTCTTTGACTGATGAATCTTATTTTCCTCTATCGTGTCTTCAAAGTTTGAGATTCTTTCTTCCATCTCTTGTATTCTGCTGTTTATGTTTGTATTTGTGGTTCCTGACCACTTTCCCATATTTTGAATTTCCAAAATTCCCTCGGTTTATGTTTTCTTTATTGACTGTATTTCAATTTTCATGTCTTGAATCATTTCTTTTACGTGTTTGATTGTTTTTTTCTTGGTTTTCTTTAAGGGATTTGTTGGTATCTTCCAATTTTTTTGTTTGTCTTTTCCTCCATTTCTTTGAGAGAATTTTTCATATCCTCTTTAAGGGCCTCAAACATTCTCCTAAAGTTATTTTTTTTAGGAGAATGTTAAAGTTATTTTCTTCTGCTTCATCTGTATTGTGGTGCTCTAGTCTTGCCTGTTACAGAGCCACTAGATTTTGGTGGTGCTGTATTGCTCTTTGTGGTGTTAAGTGTGTTCTTATCTTGTCTGACCATTTTTTCTCCTCTGAATAATGCAGTTGGGGCTGTGTCTCTGGTGATCACTCTTCCAGGTGCCAGTGGATCCAAGGTTCACATGGTTGCTCCTCGTGGTGGATTCTAGACCATGGTTCCAGTCACCCCAGAGGTAGCTCGGCATTCTTAGAGGTCACTCGGTGCTCCCAGAAGGCTTTTGGACCTGCTCCTGAGGACTTCACTGGCTCGGGCATGCCTCCACAGAGGTCAGAGGTCGGAGGTCGCTGGCTCAGGCCTGCTCCCATAAAGATCACCTGGCTTAGGTCTGCTCCCAAAGATGTCCCTGTCTCAGGCCTGTTCCTACGGAGGTAGCTGGCCTGGCTGTTGAAAATCTTTATTGGACAACCCAGTATCTTGAGGCTGGTATCAGCTGAATATCTTTTCTCATTTAATATGATTGTTTTGACTCTTGGTATAGTTCTTAAGGAGTTTCTGGACCTTTTGGCTATCACCTTAAGAGACCCTGAGTCCTACTCAAACCTCTCACAGACAGACAGAAATCTTATTGAATTTTAGCACAATTTAGTTTATTGGAACACTTCAGTTCTAACAATAACTCCGTTTTCAATAACATTTTGATATATTCTGTTTATACAGTAACACTGAACTTTTGTTGCTGTCTACTACTTTTTTCTCTGAGGTAGAAGGGAATCTCCCAGGTTAGACCACCTGGAAGTATGAAAGGGCTATCTCCAGCTTTCAAGTACACAATCTTCCAATTTGGAGTATTTTATTACAGCAGTATCTCCTTCGCTGGGACTACCTGGCTGCTCAGCACCGCTAAGTACAAGAAAGGAATCCCCAGGTCATAGAGATCATAAGTCTATTGAGGAAGGGTCTTATAGGCCAATGGTCAAGTTCTCTAGATGAGGAGAAGGGCGATTTCCATGTCAAGCTACTTACTGGGATAAAACCCTTTTCACTGTGGTCTCCAGCACCTGGTACCTCTAAGTTAAACCGGGGAATCTCCAGCCCTAGTAGAAAAGGCTTCCTGTGCTTCTTATCATGTGATCTCTTGAGTTGGAGCCAGTCAGATGCCTGCTGTCTCTTAGTACGGAAGGAAATTAGGAGCCTGAGGTGAAAGGAGAGCCCTTGCCCCTAGCCATTTACTATCCAGGACTCCCAGCCAATTTCCTTTGCAAGTGCTGCCAGGATTGCCTGGTATTTCTGGAGAGTTTCATGTCAGACATGGAATCTCCCTGGCCCATCTCCTATTGTTGGGCTGGATTCAGAAGCACAGCATATGTCACCCTCTGACTGGGAGGCTGTGAGGTTCACTATTTACTTTCTTTATTTCTAGGGTTCCTAACAGGTTCATGTAAACGGAGACTGCTCATTCATTTCCCAACTGCCCAGATACAGAAACTATATTAATTACAACAGTTTGGCCTATTAGCTCAGGTCTCTTGTTAACTAACTCTTACATCTTAAATTAACCCATTTCTATTAACTTGTGTATCACTACCAGGCTGTGGACTACCGGAAAGGTTCTGAACATCTTTCTCCTTTGGCAGCTACTTGGTGTCTCTCTGACTCTGCCCACTCTATATATCTCTTCCAGTCTGGCTATATTCTGCCCTGCCATAGGCCAAAGCAGCTTCAGAAGGACATCTCACATCACATTCATTCTCCCTTTCTAGCCTTCCTCTATATTCTTTCCCAGATTGATAGTTAAGTTTAGTAAGAGGAAAAAAACGAAGTTCATGCCATCACACCTGAACTGAAATCCCTTGATTTTTGACACTTCTAAAGAACAGAGAGCACCTGAGCATTACACATTATGTACACAATGTCAGTTGCCCTGGGAATGGCTCCAACTCCACATAATTTTGCTCATACATGCTATTTTCTTTCTTTTTTTTAATTTATTTATTTATTAAAGATTTCTGTCTCTTCCCCGCTGCCGCCTCCCCCTCCCCCAATCAAGTTCCCCTCCCTCGTCAGCCCAAAGAGCAGTCAGGGTTCCCTGCCCTGTGGGAAGTCCAAAGACCACCCACCTCCATCCAGGTCTAGTAAGGTGAGCATCCAAACTGCCTAGGCTCCCACAAAGCCAGTACGTGCAGTAGGATCAAAAACCCATTGCCATTGTTCTTGAGTTCTCAGTAGTCCTCATTGTCCGCTATGTTCAGTGAGTCCAGTTTTATCCCAGGCTTTTTCAGACCCAGGCCAGCTGGCCTTGGTGAGTTCCCGATAGTACATCCCCATTGTCTCAGTGTGTGGGTGCACCCATCGCGGTCCTGAGTTCCTTGCTAATGCTCTCTCTCCTTCTGCTCCTGATTTGGACCTTGAGATTTCTGTCCGGTGCTCCAATGTGGGTCTCTGTCTCCTTTCATCGCCTGATGAAGGTTAATATTCAGGAGGATACCTATATGTTTTTCTTTGGGTTCTCCTTCTTATTTAGCTTCTCTAGGACCACGAATTATAGGCTCAATGTCCTTTATTTATGGCTAGAAACCAAATATGAGTGAGTACATCCCATGTTCCTCTTTTTGGGTCTGGCTTACCTCACTCAGGATAGTGACTATTTTCCCTTATAACTTTAGACCCAATTCATTATGAAACATTATCCAAGAGAGAAGGAAAGAAATAAGCATGGGTAAAGGGTGGCAGGAAATTACAGACAGAAGTTTCATGAACAGAGGCTACCTCTACCCAGCTCTCACTACAATCATAGAAGACCATGGCTCAGTGCAGTCAGAGTATAATTTTTCAAGAGAAGCAAAAAGTATAATTTTTACATAAATATTCTTTGCTTAATATAAACCATGAAGTAAAAAATTTAAATACTGCACAGGTGAGACAAACAGGTATAGCTTTGCCACATGTATATTATGTATAATGTATAAATATTTGTGAATATATACACATATATGTATATATACAATACATGGCTGATATGGAGTGATATTTTAGACAATCTTCATACCAAAAACACAGGAGACAACCAAAGAACTGTGAGAAAAGGAAGACAAACTGGATCCAGCACCCAGGCCACCCAGTCATGATAGCAATACCTACCTAGTATGTCTTAACAGAGTTATCCCTAAGAATGCTTAGTGAGATGAAGGTCCAGGTAACTCCATGAGCAACAGCAGGATACATATAGTCTAACAACGTACAAATTCCTCATGTTGACAGACACGCTGGTTGGAGTGGTTATGTGACTCCCAGAGTGAACACTGATGGATGTCCTGGTACAGGCAGTCTCACACTATGGTTTTACTTTATCTCTTGTACTTACAGCATGTGTGCCACCAAGAGCAAGAGTCAACTATGTTTGCTCCTATACCCAAAATGCCACCAACATCCCAAATCATCGAATAAATACATACTCATATGCTTATAGTTACAAAAGTCCTATTCACTTGCCCTAATTTACGGGTTCTACTGACTTTCTGATTAACCGAGCAACTAGAGTTCTGATGAGTATCCCAAGTGACAAGTAGAAAAAACTTTAGGAAATGACCTTTGCTGATTTCTGCAGTGACTTCTCAGGTACGGTTCTTGTGTCCTGTGACATGGGGGTGTTCTCATCTTTTGTAACTGGAGCACTGGAATCTTCTCTTCCTAAGTCAGAGAGATAAAAAAAGAAAAAGAAAAGGAACCAATTAGTTGCATATCCATTGGGTACACAGAGATCTTTAAATTCATATTAGAAAGTTTCTTGGAAGCCGAGTACTCCATGCCATTTGTTTCACAAAAGAGGACTGTGCATAGAAGTTGGGCCATTTGGATAAATCAAATCATGTTGCATCTGTGTTCACACAAAACACCCAGTCTTAGCAGGGTACATTTGATCTACTTAACATTACTAACATTCTAAACATCTAATTAACAATTAACAGGGGTCTATAATCAATTCACAGGGAACTAAGAAAGACTTGTACATCAAGACATTTCCAAGGCCCAAATAAAAACATAACTCCTTTTCATGATTGGCAGCCTCTTCTGGGCAGGTCTGGAAACACTGTTGTGGTCTCAGACTCAGAATGATCAACTGTGTTTTTATCTCTGCAGAAATCCTCCCGCCACAGTGCTACTGAATGCAGGATTTTCAGTCTTCCAGAAAGAAAAAACAAACTTTCCCATGGTAAACGGCCTCTCTATCAGTAAAAGAAAGATAATAACCCAAGACTATCTTTTATCTTAGAGCAATAACTCAGGATGCAAATAAATGAATGAATGAATGAATGAATGTCACCAGATGCTTCCAGGTCATTTAAAAAAAATAATCTGAAAGAAAACACACACACACACACACACACACACACACGAGGGCTGATTTCTTTTGTTACATGACATACATTACCAGTTTAATGTTAATCTGTTTTTTTTACAGATTAACACAATTCATTGAAGAAAACAAAAGACAAAATGATAATTAGACACTACTTAGATATCTGATATTTAAGGATTTAGACTTAAAAGTTAGCAACCAAGTCAGAGTGATGAAAAAACTGATTTTCGACTGGGTCCGAATTCTCGGGGCACCCAAGCGGGTGGGAGTTCCTTTGTTTCTATGGCCTGCCTGCACCTAGCAGGGTAGACGCTTTGTTTGCAACCTGCCCAACCAGCACAGAGGCCTGATCTCTCAGCGCCAGGAGAGCCAGCTTTGGGGTGAGTTTCTGGCCCCGCGGCGCCAGCCTGGGACGGGGAGCTCAGAGGTTGCTTGGCCCCCTATCCTTCTTGGGCTCTCTGCATGGCCTCTACTCCCTGCATACCGCCTATTTCTTCCTAGCCCACACAGCTTCCATCCAGAACCCTCCCCACTTCGGCCACACCGCCCTCTTTTGGCACATAACATCACCCAGCCCAGCCTGTCAAGGCACTGGGTCCGAATCCTCGGGACACCCAAGCGGGTGGGAGTTCCTTTGTTTCTATGGCCTGCCTGCACCTAGCAGGGTAGGCGCTTTGTTTGCGACCTGCCCAAACAGCACGGAGGCCTGATCTCTCGGCGCCAGGAGAGCCAGCGTTGGGGAGAGCCAGCGTTGGGTAGGCAAGGAGACCTGATCCGGTAAAAGAAGATCCATAAGGGAGCATTTGGAAGAAGAGATGGGCAGACGCCAACGCAAGAATTCGCCCAACAAGCTGAAAAGCAACATGAAGCCACCAGAAACCAGCGATCTCACAACGGAGGACATGAACACCTTAATCAAGAAGACATAGAAAAGATTGACTTGATGAAGTGATTGAAGCCCTTAAACAGCATGTAAAAAACGCCCTTATAGAAATGGATGAGAAATATAACAGAAAGTTTGAAGAATTGAATAAATCAGTGAATGATACCCTAGAAAACCAAGGAAAAACAATCAAACAGATAAGGGAAACAGTTCAAGAATTGAAAACTGAAATGGAGGCAAAGAAGTAAACACAAACAGAGGGCCGGCTGGACATGGAAAATTTAAGTAAACAAACAGAGTCTAAAGAAACAAGCATAACCAACAGAATACGAGTTAGAAGAAAGAATCTCAGATTCTGAAGATACCATAGAGAAAATAAACACACTGATCAAAGAAAACAGCAAGTCCAACAAACTGTCATCACAAAAGATTCAGGAAATATGGGACACAATAAAAAGACCAAACCTAAGAATAATAGGAGTAGAAGAAGGAGAAGAAGTGCAGCTCAATGGTCCAGAAAATATATTTAATAAAATTATAGAAGAAAACTTTCCCAACCTAAAGAAAGATATACCTATGAAGGTTCAAGAAGCATACAGAACACCGAATAGGCTGGATCAAAAAAAAAAAAAAAAACATCCCCTCGCCATATAATTATCAAAACACAAAGCATACAGAATAAGGAAAGAATATTAAGAGCTGCAAAGGAAAAAGGCCAAATTACTTATAAAGGTAAACCTATCAGACTTACACCTGACTTCTCCATGGAAACCATGAAAAAGCCAGAAGGACCTGGATAGATGTACTGCAGAAACTGAGAGACCATGGACGCAAGCCCAGATTACTATACCCAGCCAAGCTTTTGTTCACTATAAATGGAGAAAATAAAAATTTCCAGGATAAAAACAAATTTAAACAATACGCAGCCACAAATCCAGCCTTACAGAAAGTAATAGAAGGAAAATCACTAACCAAGGAGTCCAACAATGACCACAAGAACTCAGACATCTAGAGACCCTTCACCAACACAACTCAAAGAAGGGAAACACACAAACTCTACGACTAAAAAAATGACCGGAGTTAACAACCACTGGTCATTAATATCACTTAATGTCAATGTACTCAACTCACCTATAAAAAGGCACAGGCTAAGAGATTGGATACGAAAACAGGATCCAACATTCTGCTGTCAACAAGAAACACACCTCAACCACAAAGACAGGCACCTACTCAGAGTAAAGGGCTGGGAAAAGGCTTATCAAGCAAATGGACCTAAGAAACAAGCAGGTGTGGCCATACTAATCTCTAACAAAGTTGACTTCAAACTTAAATCAATCAGAAGAGATGGAGAGGGGCATTTTATACTCATAACAGGAACAGTTCATCAGGATGAAGTCTCAATTCTGAACATCTATGCCCCTAATATAAAAGCACCCACGTACATAAAAGAAACATTGCTAAAACTCAAGGCAGCCATCAAACCGCACACACTAATAGTAGGAGACTTCAACACTCCTCTCTCACCAATGGACAGGTCAATCAGACAGAAACCTAACAGAGAAATAAGAGAATTAATGGAGGTAATGAATCAAATGAACTTAACAGACATCTATAGAACATTCCACCCAAAGAGGAAAGAATATACCTTCTTCTCTGCAGCTCATGGAACCTTCTCAAAAATCGACTACATAGTCGGTAACAAAGCAAACATCCACAGTTACAAAAACATATTAGTAACCACCTGTGTCTTATCAGATCACCATGGATTAAAGTTAGAATTCAACAACAATGCTACCCCCAGAAAGCCTACAAATTCATGGAAACTGAACCGTCAACTAGTGAACCATACCTAGATTAAAGAAGAAATTAAGAAAGAAATTAAAGTCTTCCTGGAATTCAATGAAAATAAAGAAACAACATACTTAAACTTATGGGACACTATGAAAGCAGTCCTAAGAGGAAAGTTCATAGCACTAAGTGCCCACCTAAAGAAAACAGAGAAAGCGCACATTGGAGACTTAACAGTCCACCTGAAAGTTCTAGAAAAAAAAGAAGCAGACTCACCTAGGAGGAGTAGAAGACTGGAAATAATCAAACTGAGGGCTGAAATCAACAAAATAGAAACACAGAAAACAATCCAAAGAATCAATGAAACAAAAAGCTGGTTCCTGGAGAAAATCAACAAGATTGACAAACCCCTATCCAAACTAATCAAACAGCAGAGAGAGAATTTGCAAATTAATAAGATCAGAAATGAAAAGGGGGACATAACCACAGACACAGAAGAAATTCAGAGAATCATTAGATCTTACTACAAAAGCCTATACGCCACAAAACTGGAAAATGTAAAGGAAATGGACACGTTTTTAGATAAATACCATATACCAAAGTTAAACCAGGACCAGGTGAACAATCAAAATAGACCTGTTAGTCACGAAGAATTAGAAGAGGTTATCAAAAACCTCCCTAACAAAAAAAGCCCAGGACCAGATGGTTTCAATGCGGAATTCTACCAGAACTTCCAAGAAGACCTAATACCTATACTCCTTAATGTATTTCATAATATAGAAACAGAAGAGTCATTGCCAAATTCCTTTTATGAAGCTACAATTACTCTGATACCAAAACCGCACAAAGACTCAACCAAGAAAGAGAATTATAGACCAATCTCACTCATGAACATCGATGCAAAAATCCTCAACAAAATACTGGCAAACTGAATCCAAGAAAACATTGAAAAATTATCCATTATGATCAAGTAGGCTTCATCCCAGGGATGCAGGGCTGGTTCAACATACGAAAATGTATCAATGTAATCCATTATATAAATAAACTGAAAGAAAAAAACCATATGATTATTTCATTAGATGCTGAAAAAGCATTTGACAAAATTCAACATCCCTTTATGATAAAAGTACTGGAGAGATTAGGGATACAAGGGTCATACCTAAATATAATAAAAGCTATATACAGCAAGCTGACAGCTAACATCAAATTAAATGGAGAGAAACTCAAAGCCATCCCACTAAACTCAGGAACACGACAAGGCTGACCACTCTCACCATACCTCTTCAGTATAGTGCTTGAAGTTCTAGCAATAGCAATAAGACAACATAAGGAGATGAAGGGGATTCGAATTGGAAAGAAAGAAGTGAAACTTTCGTTATTTGCAGATGATATGATAGTGTACATAAGCGACCCCCAAAACTCCACCAAAGAACTTTTACAGCTAATAAACACCTTTAGTAATGTGGCAGGATACAAGATCAACTCCAAAAAATCAGTCGCCCTCTTATACACAAAGGATAGGGAAGCAGAGAGGGAAATCAGAGAAGCTTCACCTTTCACGATAGCCACAAACACCATAAAATATCTTGGGGTAACTCTAACCAAGGAAGTGAAAGATCTATTTGACAAGAACTTTAAGGCATTGAAGAAAGAAAGTGA